GCCCCATCTTGGTCCTGGCTGCCTTGGTATCAGGTGTGGGGCTTCGGGAGATGGGTTCATTTTGCACACATTTAGTTGAGGGTCCTGCCTTCTCCCTGTCTTCATGGACTCTCAGCGCACTCGGAGGCGCTGTCATCAGGGACCCTTGCGGAGGTCGAGACCTCTGCGCAGGGCTGCCGTTCTGCCGCTTACTGACAGCACAGCGCGGGGCCCTTCTCCCCCGTGGGCTGTCCTGGTGCAGGGGCCTCTGCGAAGGGCTGTAGGCAGGTGGGTAGCCAGGGCCTTGCCGTTGGAGGGCTGGGGAAGCCCACAGCCCCGAGCCCCACGTTGGGTTGCACCCGAGGGTGCTTGGGGGACACTCGGACACTCGGTGAAAGCATTCTCCCCGCAGTGGTGATTCCCAGGACGGAGATTCCTGTCGGGTTGGCAGTGCAGCTTCAGGTGCTCTGCGTCTTGGCTTACGATACAGTGAAAAGTGTTGGTAAGGGAGGATCTGGAAAACTGATGTTGGGTAAGAACACTGGGGTTTGTCTTGAGCTCTGAGCTTAAGGAGGGTAGGATTCATTCACGCTCTGGGAACCGGTGCTTGGCGTGGCTATGAGTGGGGCGACGTGGGTCCCCCGAGAGCTCACGGGCACGGAGGGCTCCTGGGCACGGTGCTGGTTGTGCTGGCGGGCGGCCCGGCCCCAGAGGGGCACGATGGTCCATCCCTCGGGGAGGCCTCCGCCACCTGCGCGCCACCACGGTCCCGCCTCCACACAGTGTGGCAGAGTGTGGAACATTGTTTGTTTTAATTTTGAAATCTATGTTTTCACAATAATGAAAAGAAGGAAATAACTGAAATCTTCACCGAAAAAGAAATAAACGCATTTTGGGTGAAACATTATGTAGCTGCTGAAAGTTATGTTTCTGAAGACTGTTTGATGGCATGGACGGTGCATGCGAGAAGAAGAAAGGAATTCAGAACTGAGTAGCAGCAAAGGGTCGCGGCCGTCTGCGCTGTCAGACTCGCAGTTGCGTGGGTGCGCACAGAACACGGATTGGCGGGAAACACACAGCCTGTTCACCCAGGGAGCGGTTTGGGAGGTTTCTGTTTTCCTTGTACTTCTCTGCATTTCTCAGATTTTCTATAAAGAATACTTAGTTCTATACCAGGAAAGACATTGCGATTATTGGGGAAGAAAACCTCATTTGTTTTCTGGCTGCTGGGCCTGGGTGCATCCTGATTATTGCTTGTGCACGTTGGCTGGTTTTGGATTTTGGCCAGGCTGACCGTGGGAGAGGTCTCCAGGAAGGTGAAAGGTTGGGGATTAGGGGTCAGGGAGAGGCTTGGTCAGGGGACGGGTACCTATCGAGAGCTCCCTGGCCCTAGCTGTTGCCGCCTCCAGGCCTGCGTGCCAGCCCTTCCCTGCTTGGCCTGCAGCTGACTGTCTTGGCTGGACACAGGGTCTGACGGGTCTTTTAAATGGAAGGTGTGTTTGCTGTTTCAATTTGACCTTCTCCAATGTGACTTAAGGGCTGGGTGAGTGGAGCCCATGGCTCTCCGGGCTACCTGTCTCCATCACTGTTGGTTCTCGTGAGCCTCTGTAACGGCAGGTCCGGGCTGGGGGTTAGGCAGACCCCTCGCCCCCAGGCCCACTCTTTGAGGAGCTCTTGGACAGACTCCTCCACTTACTGCCTGCTGGCCTGGGTCCCCAGGTGTGAAGTGGGGTGTGGGCTGCACCTGCTGGTCACAAGCCCCGTGCAGGATACAGAGGCAGCCCACTAAGGTGGAGGGCTGGACACTTTTCTAGGTCATGCCTGCCTTTAAACAAGGTAGATTACCTTTTCATGACCTTTTATCTTAAGTTAGTTTAAGTTACACTTTGAAACAGGTTGTGGTTTTTTTTGTCTTTGCATGGATAGATCCAGCACAGTTTTTTATCTGCCGAAAGGAGTGATGATGACCAGTTAGTTCACGAGATCCGATGTGGTGATGATGTTACTGGGGCAGGGCGTCGATGCAGCTGGTGGTGTCCTCAGGTGATCACATGGGCGCCTTCTTTTTGTCAGAATCGGTGACCGCAATACCTTGCAAACAGGGAGACGACAGGAAAGAGACCTCAGGCAACCTGCTGTGTGCCATTGGTTTGCAGCTCACCTCAGTGCTGCTCGGGGAGTGATGGGCCGTTCGCATTGGTTTGGAACATTGGGGCGGCTGTCCAGTGGCGCCTGCAGCCTTTGTTTCCAGCCTTCTGCCGTTTTCCTCGCTTACCCATTTATACACCAAGTCGGAGATGGTTTTAGTGCCTAAGAGTGGTTAAGTTACCAGCTTAAAGTCACACGGTCACTTCCTGGCAGGGCTTTGGTTACCTACCCAGCTTTTGGCCCTTCATGGGTGTGCTGACCCCTGACCCCAGGTGCACGGACCCTGAGCATCCTGTGCTGACCCTCGGCATGGGGGCGCAGGCCCTGACTGTGGGCACATTTCACAGTGAACGGTGTCTGTTTCCTCACACTCTTGATGTCTGAAATACCGTCTTTACTTTGTTAGGATTTGAATCACATTGCTGTTTCATTGATGCTTATTTTTTTTTTTTTGAGACAGAGTCTCGCTTTGTTGCCCAGGCTAGAGTGAGTGCCGTGGCATCAGCCTAGCTCACAGCAACCTCAAACTCCTGGGCTCGAGCGATCCTTCTGCCTCAGCCTCCCGAGTAGCTGGGACTACAGGCATGCGCCACCATGCCCGGTTAATTTTTTCTATATATATTAGTTGGCCAATTAATTTCTTTCTATTTATAGTAGAGACGGGGTCTCGCTCTTGCTCAGGTTGGTTTCAAACTCCTGAGCTCAAATGATCCACCCACCTCGGCCTCCCAGAGAGCTAGGATTACAGGCGTGAGCCACCGCGCCCGGCCATTGATGCTTATTTTTTACGTACTCCTTTACATTTTTATGGATGTAATTTTTTAAGCAAAAAAGCTTTCGATAATTAAAATAGATGTACTAGATTAAGGAGTTTCGAGGTGCCAGTGGTGCCTTATTTGTGTTGCCACCTTGCTGTTCGCCTGCTGTGTGCTCCCAAGCTCACTTCAACTCTTAGGAGGGAGGAGGGCTGGTCTATGAGCAGACGCGGGAAGGCAGCACACGAATCAGCAGTGGGGTTTGAGAAGCTGGTGTCAAGAGGTGTCGATCCTCTGTTGGGGTCCCTGGCCCCCGTGGGTTCTTGGTGGACAGTCTCACTCTCTTGATGGCTCACACCCAGCTCTGGTGCCACGTGGCCGATCCCAGCACCTGCCTCCCCCGAAATGCCTTTTCTGAGCATCCTGCACATGCAGACGTGGCGTTTAACAGAGACTTGATTTCAGCGACTGAGCCTGGGAGGCCCTTCTCTCGTCAGCTCCTTCCCAAGCTCCCGGGGTTTGGGACATTTCGGCAGAGTGTTTGAAGCAGCTGGGCTTTTGGTTTTGTTTGTTTGTCTTCTGCATGGTTTAGCTTGAAAGGGATGTTTTGGAGAGAAGTTTTCTTAACATAAATGTGGCTTATTGGGACCAAGAATTTTAGACGCGAGCCCAGGGAGAGGCTTCCCTGTTATTTTTTGGTATCATGATGGATTTTTTTTTTTTTATTTATTTTTTTTTTTTTGAGACAGAGTCTCGCTTTGTTGCCCAGGCTAGAGTGAGTGCCGTGGCATCAGCCTAGCTCACAGCAACCTCAAACTCCTGGGCTCGAGCGATCCTTCTGCCTCAGCCTCCCGAGTAGCTGGGACTACAGGCATGCGCCACCATGCCCGGCTAATTTTATATATATATATATCAGTTGGCCAATTAATTTCTTTCTATTTATAGTAGAGACGGGGTCTCGCTCTTGCTCAGGCTGGTTTTGAACTCCTGACCTTGAGCAATCCGCCCGCCTCGGCCTCCCAAGAGCTAGGATTACAGGCGTGAGCCACAGCGCCCGGCCTCATGATGGATTTTGAAAGAGGCGGGAGCCCGACAGTTCCGAAGATCCTCCTAGAAGCTCTGAGGCTGGTCCGACTGCGTCGCAGGTCCAGAAGGAAGAGCCGGTGTTTGCCCGTCGGGACGGTCGCGGGAGTTCTCAGGCCTTTCCTCTTCCGAGAGTGGTGTTTCTCATCACCCTGCAGGGGAGGAAGGAGCGGCTGCAGAATGTGGGGCTCCTCTGTGGGCATCTCCACGGCGCGGCCCGCTGTGACGGGGGAACGGGCGGCTGGCGGCGCTGCGTTGCGTGTCTGTGTCGTCTTCTGGCTGGGTGGCGTCGTGCGGGCACCTGCTGGGGTTCAGCTGAGAGAGGCCGCGGTGTTCGCCGTCCACCTCCACCACCTCTGTCACGGGAAAGTGCACTTGAAAGTCGGACGGTTGCGTTTCTGTTTCTTGTGAGGTTTATGATACAACTGGTTGCTGTTTTTCGAAGCCAGACTTAATGCCAAACCTGAGCAGCAGGATTTGCTTTCCCGGGATTGAGCTGCAGAACCACGGCGGGCGAGTCTGCGTGTGCGCGGACGCCCCAGGGCGACGTGGGGCCGCACTGGCCACCGCACAGAGCAGTGCCTGCCACGCCGGCTGCTGTTGGCTTTGGACGTGGCAGGACGAAGGGGCGGGAGACTGTTAGTGTGGGCCGCAGAGAGGGTTGTGCCCTCGGGCCCCAGCCCGGCCGGGGCGGCCCGGTGGGCAGTGGGCAGAGAGGCCTCCACATCTGTGCGGTGGGGTGCGCCGGCCAGCGTGGGGCGTGGGGCGTGGCGGTGGCGGTGGCGGCAGCTGTCACGCTGCCCTGCTGCTGGGCTTGTTTATATGAGGAAGGCTCCCTGCTGCTCGAATCCAGGGTCTTCTGACAACTGTTTACAGTTTTTCGTCCTGTCCACCACCTTTGTGGGCAAGCGTGCTTCGAGCTGGGTGAGTTTGTGTGTTTTACGACTTCTGTGTTTCCTTCTCACAGCCGGGTAGGGCCTTCGCCAGCACTCTGGGTGCGGTGTGTTTCCTCACCCCGGTGCCCTCTGTCCCCAGGAATGGTCCTCGTGCGGAGTGAGAATGGGCAGTTGCTGATGATCCCCCAGCAAGCCCTGGCCCAGATGCAAGCTCAGGCCCACGCCCAGGCCCAGCCTCAGACCACCATGGCGCCCCGCCCCGCCACCCCCACAAGTGCCCCCCCTGTCCAGATCTCCACCGTGCAGGTGAGTGGCCGCCCACGTCCCCCTCCACCTCTCGGGCTGGGGAGGTCTGCAAGGGCCAGCGCGTCCATGTGAGTGAGGACCTGGGGTGTGGGCAGCATCCGATCCAGGGATGGGCCTGGGGGTGGCCCTGGTCACCTGGCCTCCTCTTGGTGGCAGGGTGCTTGGAGGGGCCAGCGCCCATGGCTGTGCACAGCCAGGTGGCCGCGTGGGGTTAGAGTGAATGCCCTAGGGTTTGCTGCCCCAGCTGGAGCCTGGCCCCTTCCCTTCTTTTCCTGTGGCCATATCTTGCTGTGCCTCAGTTTCTTCATTTGCAAAATGGAGATCGTGCTGGTGCTCAGCTCCCAGGACTGTCCCAAAGACTGTCAAGACCTAGAAAGTGCTGAGAGGAGTGGCACAGAGTGACCCTGAGCAGGTGCCAGCTGCTGCCGTCAGGGAGGCCTGAGAACGTCCCAAATTAAATAGGGCCACCCCTCCCCCAGAGTTCAGGCTTGGGGGGTCACCAGTCCTGACTCCGAGCTCTGGCAGGGAGGGTGACTCTGGTGCTTAAAGCAGAGTGCCAGGGCCCCTCCCCAGCATGGGGTGTCCCCACGCAGTGCCCTGCTGGGCTTGTCTGTGCTGTGGTCCCGCTGTAGTGAGCTGGGTGGCAGGTTAGTGACCACAGTGGAGACAAGAGTGATCTGGACAGCTTTTTCCTCCTGGGACCTCCTGGGACTTGAGCTGGCTCCCTCTGGAGCTCATGCCTCTGTCCCAGGACTGGCTGGGACAAGCTGGCGGCAGAGCCCCTCCCCTCCGGAGAAGCACGGAGCAGTGTCCTCAAGGCCTGCGGCGTCTGTGTGCTGGCCCATCCAGCAGGAGGCCCGGGGCTTCAGCTCCTGCCGCCCTCGCCGCCAGCCTCCCCTCAGACCAGCTTCCTGCCAGCGGGTCGGGCGTCTCTCTGTCCGCCTGGCCGCCTTGCTTCCTTGCCGGGCACCGTGGCGCTGTGTGTGGGCAGCCCTCCGCCCGGCAGGCTGTCCGTGCTCGTTCCCACTTTTCAGTGCTTGTTAACAGGCAGTGCAAGGACCTATTTGCAGACACCTGTGTTCTTTCAAGGTCATCATTTGTAGACTTTGTTTTTTGTTTTTTTGGGACAGAGTCTTGCTCCTTGCCCCGGCTGGAGTTGTGGCATCATCACAGCTCACTGCAGCCTCAAACTCCCGGGCTCAAGTTATCCTCCTGCCTCAGCCTCCTGAGTAGTGGGACTATAGGCATGCACCACCACACCTGGCTAATTTTTCAATTTTTAATAGAGACAGGATCTCGCTCTTGCTCAGGCTGGTCTGGAACTCCTGAGCTCCAGAGATCTTCCTGTCTCAGCCTCCCAGAATGCTGGGATTACAGGTGTGAGCCACTGTGCTCAGCATTTTGTGGACTTTGTTAAAGAAGTCTAATATTATAGCATATGAAGAGATTTCATGTACTTAAGAAAACTTCAGCATTAGGGTGACTTCATGGAAAACTCTGAATACACGTGTGGACCTACTTGAGTACACTAGTTAGTCACATGTTTAAGGTTTGATTTTTGTGTACGGTGGGTGGGGACTTCCTTTTACAGGTAGCCTGTTCCTGATGACTGTTACTTGTCTTTCAGGCACCTGGGACACCCATCATTGCACGGCAGGTGACCCCAACTACCATAATCAAGCAAGTGTCTCAGGCTCAGACGACGGTGCCCCCCCCAACCACACTGCAACGCTCACCCGGGGTCCAGGTGAGACTCGCGGCAGCTCTGCGGATCCACTGGGGCTGCACAGCACGTTTTCTTTAATGGAAAGAGCTGGCCTTGTGAGCTTCTGTGCTGGATACTAAGTTGAGTTTTGGGAGGAATTTTCTCCATGGCAAAGATGCTTTCTGTCTCACGACCAATGCAGGATAGATCAAGGTTTCTTTTTCTTTAAAGCCACACAGAATTTAATATCAGCAGCACTTTTTTAAAACTTCCCACGGTGCCAGAGTATAATTTTTGAAATAAAAATAAAAATACCACCGTATTAATGTGAAGGTGTCTCTGAAACAGAGGATGGCTGCAGTGAGGGTAGTTTATGTCTGTGCATGTGTGGCCTTTCAGGTAACTGACGACAGCAGCTGCCATTTGAGCAGGGCCTGTCCCAGGCGTCGTCCTCCCTGCTCTGTGTGCCTTCGCTTGCTTACTGCTCGCACGGCCGCGTGGAGGAGATGCCGTTCGTCTCCTCTCACTGACGCGTTTGCACATGAGCTGAGGGCGGTTCTGGAACTTGCTCCCAGTCTGGCAGCCTGCACGCTGGCCGCCTCCCTGCACCACCTGCCTGCGGCCTGTGCCCTTTTCCTGTAATAAAAACATAGTTCTAGAAATGTTCCGTGTCAACCCAGGGGGTGGGTTTTCAAATAGTGTTTTAAGCTGCGAAGGGGAGAGTGTTGGGCAGCAGGCACTGGCCTCTCCAGTGAGTACCCTTGCTCCTGACGGCTCAGCCCCGGGCCTGCAGAGCCACGGAGGAGGGTTCGTGCACCTGCCAGACCGGCCCTCTGTGTCAGAGAGGCGCCGAGGTCCATGGAGGGGAAGGGGCCAGCCAGGGAGGACACACACCTGGTCAAGGAGTCGGCACACCTGGCAAGGGGAGATGGACCTGGGTAGAGCAAACACACCTGGGCAGGGAGGGCACACCTGACCAGTGAGATACACCTGGCCAAGGAGGACACACCTGGTTAGGGAAGCAGCCTTCTCTGGGAGGTCAGGTGGAAGGTGGAAGCAGCCATTAGGATGTGGGGCTGCAGCACTGGTCGTGAAACACCTGCCGTGTGCTGGGCACTGTGCCCAGACGTGCTGCTGATTGGTCCAGAATCCTCACGGAGTCCCATGGGAAACTGAGGCTGAGTCGGGGGTAGAAGACTCTAGGGGAAGCCCTAGCTCTGGCCTTTCCACTCCACGGGGTCACGTCTTGATTGGCCTTTGGTGGCTGTGGCGACTAGACACAGTAGGAGGGCGGTTCGGTCCAAGTGCTGGCGCGAAGGCCCTGCGCACGCCCGGAAGGAGCCTGCGGCTGGGCCTCCGTCTGGTGGGTGCGTCTGGGTTTTCAGTTTACGGTGCTTTTTCTGAGAAGGAAGTGAAGCTCGTAGTCAAGTTTTTGCATCAAACTTAGTGGGAGATACATTTATCAGAATAAGCAGACGCAGTCTTGACGTTACCGAGGTGAAGTACATATCCCTAGGGTCCGTAAACGTGAGGAATAGATTTGATGAGAGGGAAAAGTCCCCTCGGATGGAAGTGTCCAGATGCTTCTGCGCCCCCGACTGCCCAGAGACAGCTGCTGGGTTGGTCGTTTTACGTTCTCTTCATCTGAAGCGTTTTATTAGATGAGTTTCAGTTTCAGGAGTGATACAGACTCACTGCTACAAGTAAAAGAACCAGAGTCATGCAGCAGCACCATCTCCATCTCGCAGCTCCTCCCCACCCTGGCTGGCGCCCGCAGCCTGGGGTGTAACGGTGGGGACCCTGCAGACCTCTGCACTGCCCGCGCCCCGCGGCAGGTCTGCAGGACGAGGGCCGAGGAGCAGCCGCTGCCTGGGAGTCACGCTCGGGGCTTGCACTGCTCCCGGCTCTCTGATGACCCAAAAAAGGATTGTTTAAAAAAGTGGAGAGAGAAATGTTGATGGCTGGACTTATAAATTGGAAAAGTACTAATTCAAAAAAAATCAGTAAATATTTGCATTTTGATCATTCATGTAAAGTAGAAATGTTAGGAATTTGACTGGGGGCCAGTAGTTTGAATTGCCTGAGTCCATGTCTGGCCGTTGATTTGCTTGGCAAAGTGGCACCTCCCTGCCCACAGGGTGACTGACACCCGGCCTCGCTTGCTCAGAGGAGGCTGCTTGTCGAGACTCACTTTGAGAGAGCGAAGCGGGGGAGCCTGGCCCTGCCCTCCACGTCAGTCCTGGCGTGGTCCCTGCGGAGGGACGCCCTGGGAGCCCACCACGGGCCGAGAGGCGGGCGTTTGCAGGATTAGTTCTTCTGTCTTATTTTTTTTAACTTCTGAGAGATGGGATCCGGTCTGGCTAGGATGATTCACACTGGTCACTTTTCACCGTGACTGTTATCATCCTACTGACTTCTGAAAACCAGGATCTTGCCGGCGATTGGCTTTATTTCTGTCAGTTGTTAACGCAGGTGCAAAATACGGCTTCCCCAGGTGCCCAGTCCTACGGCCCTCGTGTGAGGTCGGTCTGGGGTGCGGTCAGTCCGGGGTGCGGTCAGCTGCCTCGCGTGGCTCCAGGAGGGGCGTCCCACCAGCACTTACTGGTCCCCCTGGTGGGGGGGCCCCGACGCTGGGCCGGCAGGTGGCGGGGCTTTCCCTGCCTCTCTGGGAAGCCTTGTTTTCCTTTGCCGGACGTAAGGCCAGTGTCCACTTAGCCTGCCCGTGGCAGGAGATGCACTGACCTCATGTTTTGGATTTTGTAGCCCCAGCTTGTTCTCGGTGGTGCTGCCCAGACGGCTTCACTCGGGACGGCGACGGCTGTTCAGACGGGGACACCTCAGCGGACGGTCCCAGGGGCGACCACCACCTCCACAGCTGCCACGGTAAGAGCCGCCTCTCCACCGGGCACCTTCAGGGGAGGCCAGGCCCTGGGGCTCGGTGGCCGGAAGGTGTAGCCCAAGCCCACCCTGGGTCGACTTCTTTCCTAGACCACTGTCTGGTTCTTGGAGGACTCTGTGGACAGGGTGGGCCCGTGCAGATGCGGGGAGGTCTGCGCTTCCCGGTGTAGGGGTCCCGAGGGCAGTGGCCTCGGAGGGCGCAGGACGGGGCCCCACTTCTTGCTTAAGGACGTCAGACTGTGCAGAAGCCACGTGGACTGCACGGCATTTGCAGTCTATGTGTGAATGACAATCTTTACACAAAATGGGATATCATGCTTTATTTATAACTTTTTTCATGTTTCTTAAGTATTTTCTGTGACTTTTAATGGCTGCGTATAATTTGATTCTTTTTTTTTATGTACTTTTAGATAGGTGTCAGTTTGTCTTTGTAAGTATAATTATGATGAACGTCTTCATAGGTTCATCTTTCTCAGGGTTTTGGCTGTTTACGTGGTTGCCGGGCTCTGTGGCCCAGCGGCCAGGCCGATCCTCGGAGCTCAGCCCCGTCTGCATGGGCCATGCGAGCTCGTGTGTTTTCTTGAAGTTTAGAGAAGACACGCGTGTCTTTTATGCGTATATGTATTTTGGTTAAACCAAAGGCTGTGATGAAAATCTGCTTTTTAAGTCTTTATTACTTACATCTTTTTACTTTAATTTAGGAAACTATGGAAAATGTGAAGAAATGTAAAAACTTTCTATCTACGTTGATAAAACTGGCTTCGTCTGGGAAACAGTCCACGGAGACGGCAGCGAATGTGAAAGAGCTCGTGCAGAACTTACTGGTAAGAGCTGTCCCACGCGGTGCCCTGCTCCCCGGCAGCCTGGCCGCCGTGCCCGCGTCAGCAGCCCAACTCTGGGAGGCGCGGGTCGGGGGAGGGCCGCGTGGCTGGGGGACCCCCTCCCTGGGTCCGGGTGCTCTGGGACTTGGCCGGTGGCTGTGCCGCGCCCCACCCTAGCCCTGCTGCGAGGGGCCGGCGGCCGCGCAGCTCCTGAGCTTCGCCGCTTTCTGACGCGTCTGTGCCCCTCAGAGCGTTGGCGAGGAGGCGCGCCGTTGTCTGGAGGGCTGTGGGAGGCGCGTGTAGGTAGCGGTAGGTCGTTGCACGGAGGTGTCGTGTCGGGCATCACGGGAGCACGTTTAAATCCGTCTGATAGGTGGCGTGGCTAAGGCGTTGCGTTCTCTCCCTCCCCGCCCCTGGTGGTTTCACTTGTGTTTAAGTGGAGAGCTCTAAACGCACAGAAGTGGGGAGAATGGCGTGAGGAACCCCGACGCCCCGTCTCTGGTTGTCGGTTTTGACCGAGAAGTGGTTTCTGCCTGTGACGAATGACCCGTTGCCACACGCCCCGCCCCCACCCCACACGTGCCAGTGGAGCTCTGGAAATCGAGGCACTTCTTACAGACATGGCTGCGACACCCCATCACACCTGACACCCCCAGTCCCTTCGTAGCCAGGGACAGCCCTGCCACTGTTCACGTCTCCCCAGCGTCCTCGCGGCGTTGTATTCTGGCCGCTTGCTCAGATCGGGACCTACACATCGCAGTTGACTTGCGCACCTCTTTAAGGACTCCCAGCCTGCTCTGGCTCTTTCTTCTTCCCTTCCGGCTTCTCTGTGGAGGAAACGTGGGTGTAGAAGGCCCCTGACCTCCCGCGGTCTGTGTGTTCTGTCTACTGCTGCTGGAGTGCGTCGGGCCCGCCAGGAGCCCGCGTTGGGCTCGCTCGAGCACTGCGGCCAGGGTCGAAGTGGGTGTGCAGAGGGGCTTGGTGGCACGGGGGAGCCAGGGCAGGGGCGGGGCAGGGCGGAGGGCCCGGCTGCCTGGCACTGCCGTGGTCCTGTGTCCTGCCACTGAGGGACGTCACGGTGCCTTGCCTGTGGCTCTCTCCTCCGCTTGCTGTGCTCTTGTCAGGGTCCCCTGCAGCCGTCTTCCGGCCCTTTCCTGCGTGACCTCTTTGCGTCCCTAAGTGCTGCTGTGCACGCCTGCCAGCCTCGGCGTCACTGAGGTGGGCTTGGCTGCTGGCAGCGCGAGTGGCTCTGCCTCTCGTAAAGTCCCCACGTGTCCCAGCCCCCAGAGCCCGGCTCTGTCCCCTCCCCACGGTGTAGGCCACCGCAGCAGGTCTGTGCTCCAGCGGCAGGGCTGGCCCCTCCCCACCTCTGTCTCTGTGAATGCGGAGTCCTCCTGTCCTTGACCAGCACGCCCCAGGCCCCGTGTCTGCCTCGTGCGGGGGCCGGCCGTCTGCTGTGGGAACCTGGGCTGCTGGCCCTCGGCCAGATGCCCGGCTGTCTGAGCAGCCAGTTTTCCGTGCCCGTCCCTTGCCCGGGCAGCCGCATGCCCCTCTCTCAGGGTCCACCACGAACCTTCCGTAGCAAAAGGCTGTGAGGACCTAGTTCTTGCCTGCGGCACGTGGCTCCCCTCCTGACGCCTGTTGTGCCCCCGCTCTGCTCGTGTCCCTCTGCGTGGCTCCCAGCCCCTCTGGTGCCTGCAGGGTGGTGGCCATGCCGGGGCTCCCTGGCTAGGCCAGGCGTCCTCCGTGTGGGTCCCAGGTGCCCTGGGACACCGAGTGGGTGCGTGGTGTCACTGTGTGAGGACGGGCATGGGGTAGGGGCTTAGGAGGGGACGGAAGTAGGGTGACCCACCTGCAGGGAGACACCGTCAGCAGCTTCCTTGGCGGCGTCCAGGTGAGCCTCTGCAGTGCGTGTCCCTGGAACCACCTGTCACTGCGTGCGGCCAGCCGGCGTCTCCTCTGTCTGCGGAGACGCCGGGCGGGAGCGGCCATGGGAGAAGAGGCGGTGGCGCCGAACCAGGAGGCGTGTGCGGGACGACACTCACTGCGGCCTCAGCGTGGTCTTATTTTTAAGGACGGGAAAATGGAAGCGGAGGACTTCACCAGCAGGTTATACCGGGAACTCAATTCTTCGCCTCAGCCTTACCTCGTGCCTTTCCTGAAGGTGAGTGGAAGGTTCCGGCGCCTGCAGCGGAAGCCAGGCCCACCGTGAGGTGGGGGTGGGCCTTGTGGGTGCTCCAGGTGTGTGCCCACCTCCGGGGACAGGTGCGAGGCCGTCCCCGAAGCCGTGGTTCTGCTGTGCTCCCTGGAAGGGGGGGGTGGGCGGTGCTCGCAGAGCCGGCTGGGACCGAGGGTTCCAGCAGCCTCGGGTTGTCTCTCTCATGAGGTCGTTGGTGTCGGCACATTTTTAAGAGTATTTTAAAGATTTGCCACCTTTTGTTTTTAAGCAAATTCTGGACAGCTCTTACTGAGAATAATCCCACCTGGTGGGAGGGAATCTCGGGGGGGGTGTTGGCGCCTGGCGTCAGAAGGGCGTCCTCGAGGGTCTGGAATCTGCTGTTAGCTGCAGAACTTCCTGGGGCTTTGAGAAGGGAAGCCAGCGCGCCTGTCCTGACCCTGTGTTGTCTCCCGCCCAGAGGAGCTTACCCGCCTTGAGACAGCTGACGCCCGACTCAGCGGCCTTCATCCAGCAGAGCCAGCAGCAGCCGCCACCCACCTCGCAGGCCACCACCGCGCTCACGGCCGTGGTGCTGAGTGGCTCGGTCCAGCGCACGGCCGGCAAGACGGCGGCCACCGTGACCAGCGCCCTCCAGCCTCCCGTGCTCAGCCTCGCCCAGCCCACGCAGGTGGGCGTCGGCAAGCAGGGGCAGCCCACACCGCTGGTACGGAAGGCGCGAGCCTCGCCCGTCCCTCCGCAGCCCGCCCGCCTCTTAGATAGAGCGGCCACGGCTCAGAGAAGCCTTTTCGCGAGCGTGCGGGAAAGCCGCTAGGAAGAAGTATGGGTGTTACCTCAAACAGTTGAGACTCAGTCTGGAGCCCGAGGCCCTGCGGCTTCGCATTTTATTTCTCAGTGAAGTGAAACGCGCACCCCCTGCGCGTCCCTCGCCGGTCCTGTTGGGGGTCTTGCTGGCTCGAGGAGCCCAGTGTGTTTGCAGACAGACGTTCCCCAGGTTGGGAGCCTCGGCCCAGGGGTGAGACGCAGGCGCCTGGCTCGGCATCAGGCCGCAGCTGGGGCTGGGGGACTGGTTTCTCGGGACGGAGCAGCTCTTGGCACGTGTGGGGGTATGTGGGACCGAGAGGCAGAGCCACTGGTTGCTCCTAAGTGGTTTGCTTCCTTACGGGCTGGATCCGGCCTTCCCGGTGCTAGCCGTGGTGCTGCTGTCCGCAGCCCGGGGACGTCCCTGCCGAGAAGAGTTGAGTTTTTTTTGTTTGTTTGTTTGTTTTTTTAGCTTATTAGCAAATCTTTAATGGTCAATCCTGACTTTTTTTTTTTATTTCAGCGTATTATGGGGGTACAGATTTTAAGGTTTCAGTAAATGCCCATTCCCCCCTCCCCCTACAAGTCTGAGTCTCCAGCATGACCATCCCCCAGATGGTGTACATCTCACTCATTATATATGTACATACCCTCCCCCCTCCCACCTGCCCAATACCCTATTACTGTAGTACCTATGTGACCACTTAGGTGCAAGAGTTGCGTTTTGAACGTGCTCTTGCCCATGGGCGTTGTGGGCTCACCAAATGTGGAGAGGAATTTTTTTCAGTGTCAAGGGGGTTTTGTTTCTCTAAAGACAGCTTAAAACAAAAATAAAACAACACAGGCTCCCCGTCAGTAGGAGACTGTACGGTGTATCTTACGTTGGAGCACAGACGATAGCCAAGTGGGGCGTTTGTGCGTGTGCTCAGCTGAAATCTGCACTTGATTTCGCTTTGGTGGGTGGCGAGGAGAGCAGGGTAGCACAGTCGTGGGGAGGCTTCGCTGGGGAGGTGTGGGCAGCAGGAGGGTGGAGGTCCATGCGCGGAGACGGGCACGCTCGCGCTCCTCTTGGCTCTGCATGGGGAGAGGTGGCCGGCCCTTCGCCACACTGCAGGGTGAGGGCGGTCGGGGGCTGATCACCCCCAGGCGAGTTCCGTTGAGGCAGAACTCAGTGGGCAGTCGTTTTCCTTGCAAGGTCCTGACCTCTGGTGCCTGGTTGTGGCAGTGGCGCCGGGGTGGTGTCTCGGGAGCAGGCGCTGTGTTGAGCGGGAGACGGCTTCTGCGTTCTGCTCCCTGCCGCGGAGTGTGCGGTCAGGCCAGCGGGTTATCCGTCCCCTGTGCTCTGAAGCCTGCAGAGGTCTGGGAACCAGAGGCTTTTCCCTGGGCCTGTGGCAGTCTCCTTAGGTGGCGACACTGGCTTGAGCTGCCTGAGGCTGGCCCTGCTGAGCGGGAATGTTCAGGTTTTGTTGCAGAAAAGGTTCCGTCTCGGGGCACTGCCCCAGCCCCTCGCAATTGTCCCATGGCTTAGGTGTACCCTCGAGGATACCTTTGTAAAAGGCAGAAACTGAGTTCAGAGGCTGGGTGGACTCGAGCTGTGTGGCTTCCACAGGGATCCAGTGTCTCTGAGCAAGGTCACATTCAGTACTGCGGGCTCTGGCGGCCCTGCTGTGCACCAGGGCTGTGTAGCAGGAAAGGCGGGACAGCAACAGCTGGGCAGGCCCCAGCGTTGGGGCCAGTGCCAGGGGCGTGGGGCGAGCAGGCTGCCTTTGGGGCAGTGGTGGAGGCCCTGGAGTGGCCAAGTCCGGGCAGGGGAGGACATGGGGCCCCCAAGCCCACTGTGGTCTCAATCGTCCAGCCCGAGGGAAACCACAGAAGAGCAGAGTCCCTTGACCTACACCCACCAGGTGGCAGTTTCACCTCTGCTGACTTCTGGGGCAGTTGTCTGTGCCTCACAGGGCTGCCCAGCTCAGCAGACTTGGCTTGTTCTCCAGGCCTTCTGGGCACTGACCAGGGGCCCCTTCTAGGTAGCATATCTGCCCAACCTGCTGGCTCACGTGTGGCCCCTACACGGGTGTTGCCCACTTGACCTGTCCCGGTCCTGGGGCTCGCTGGGGCCAAGGCGCATGTGGGGGACGGGGATATGAAAATGAAGGGAAGAGCCTCCCCTTGGGGAGCGGCCGCTCTGCGCTGGGAGACCGAGCTCACCTGTCCTCTCTGCCGGCTCTGCCCCAGGTGATCCAGCAGCCTCCGAAGCCAGGAGCCCTGATCCGGCCCCCGCAGGTGACGTTGACGCAGACGCCGATGGTCGCCCTGCGGCAGCCTCACAGCCGGATCATGCTCACCACGCCCCCACAGATCCAGCTGAACCCGCTGCAGCCAGGTGCGCCAGGCGGGCACTGAGAGGGTCTCGTTTATTTTAATTGTGGCAAAACACACACAGCGTGAAATGGACCGTCTTGAGGACCGGACCCAGTGGCACTGATCACGTGTACAGTGCTTCGTGACCAGCACCACGGGTGCTGGGGTTTCTAGAATTAAACGGGTAGTTGCCACTGTTAGTTTCCTTACCCGTAGTCATTCATGCACCTAAAACAGTTTGATGAAACACAGTAAAACGAGTGCTGGAGAGATGCAGCTAAAGCTTTTGACTGTGGCTTAGAGTTAGACTCGGAGTGTTGAAACCTTCCTGTTTCAACGGGGAGAACGGGCAGGCCTCACGTGCTCCCTGTGCCTTTTGCTCCCCAGTCCCCGTGGTGAAACCTGCCGTGCTGCCCGGAACCAAAGCCCTCTCTGCCGTCTCGGCGCAAGCAGCTGCTGCTCAGAAAAGCAAACTGAAGGAGCCCGGGGGAGGTTCGTTTCGGTAAGGAGTGGGCCTGCGGCCTTGGCCTGGGGTCTTCCCAGCTCTAGGGGCTGTGATCTGTGTCCCGTGGCGCTCGGCGTGGGCTTAGTGCTGCACAGTGCGTGTTTGCCCACAGGGCTGGCTCAGAGAGGTTTGCCTCATACGGGTAGCGGGACAGTGAACTGGCTGGTGTGTTTACGTGACTGATGGAAAGGTCGTCTTTATAACATCACAACATGGCATCTCGACTTCATCACAGTCGGATTAGCACGTGCCACCTGCCATCGGCCCTTCATGCAGCTCAGAGCCGCCAGCAATGCTGCATTTAGCTTCGGGCTCTAGGTCGGCAGCGGGTCTGAGCCCCCCGTCGGGGGAGGTGCTGGCGGGGCCTGTGTGCTGGGGAGGCTGTGGGCCCCGCCGTGGGCTGGGGTCGGGCAGTGGGGAGCGTTTCCGTGTCCGCAGGTTTCCTGCGCCTCTTCCCTGTCCCGGGCACTTCATTCCCAGCAGGCAGGGCAGGGCTGGGGACCGACAGTGGCCTGAGCCCGAGCAGGGTGAGGGGCCGGTGTGCCGGGGGCAGCCCAGCAGTGAGGTCACACTGGAGTGGCTGGGGAGGGGACTAGGTCATCTGCACGTGAAAAAGCAAGCCGGTCAAGGCTGCGGGAAGCCCGGGTTTCTGTTGAGGAAGGAACTAGCCGTGCAGTGAAAGGAGTGAACTCGAGCGGGCCCTGTGGCGTTGGACCGAAGGTGGGCGTGGACTGATGCACACTCAGGTCTCCACGCACGCAGCCAGACACAGAAACAGCCACCGATAGCTGTAGATGCCTGGCTGTGTCCCCTGAGAGAGCCAGGGGTCAGCAACACCACAGCAGCGAGCTCTCCTAGACTCAGGCTTTATCTTCTATACATCTTCCACTGACGTGGTGGGCTCCTCCAGGAAAGGCTCAGTCCGGGGCTGGGATGAGCAAAGTGCGGGCGGAGCGGGACCGTCCTGCCGCGCCGCAGAGCAGCCTTCACGGGCAGAGGGCGCGATCTCCGCGACGCCTCCTCCCCGGGCAGGCCCGCGCATCACTGCTCGGCAGGCACTGGCCGAAGCCCGTGGCTGTGTTGGTTACTGGGTGAGCACACGGAGGACTGGGTGTGTGGACCGCTTCACGGTCCCTCCCCGCGAGGCACTGGTGACCACGGGGGTGCCGGGCGGGTCCCGCAGTTGTGCGCTCAGACTGTGCATGCGTGACGGGGCCGCCTGCCGAGGCCGCGAGGCTCGGGCAGGATCCCTGGCAGGCTGTGGGCCTGCGCCCCTCCCGAGAGGACGTTCTGCAGACGGCTGGCCTGTGCCCTTCCCGGCGTCAGGCCACGAGAGTCCAGAGAGGCTGAGGAATGTTCCAGCCTGAAGGAGACCGAGGCGGCGTGACAGCTGAACGCAGCCTGTGACACACACGTGGACCCTCCTGCTGGCAGAGTCACCGTGGGGACAGTTCCCCCAGCCGGGAGGCCTGAGCAGTGGACGGCTGCTGGTGGCCTGGCTTCCGTGGCGCCCCTGGTTCTGCAGGGGACGCCTTGACTGTGGGGCACCCACGGCAGCATCCCGGATGAGGGGTGTCAGGTCGGCGGCTCACTCTCAAATGATTCAGGAAGAAATCCTTTGCATTTTTCTTCCAGCTTTTCTGAGGCTTTGTGGTTGTTTTAGAGGAAATCAGAGCTGTCGGGATGTTTAAGGTGTCAGGTGGGGCGGGTGCTTGGAGCAGCAGGCGGCACTCCTGGTCTGGCCTCCCCTGGACCTGGCACCGCTGCAGCTGCACATCTGTGTGCTTGACCCCGCGCCGTCCTTTGGCAGAGCAGATTAGCTGTCAGAGAAGGTAGTGAGGCACCTCTTTCCGACAGCAGGACACAGCAGGTGCAGGAGCTGGACGATAGCGCCTGGCACGGGCGCTGGCCGTGATTTCTGCACGGGGGTTTCCTGCCCCTGAGTTTGTTGTCCAAGTGAGAAGCACCCCAGCCCTCCTCTTGCCGAATCCCTTGTGCGCTTGGAGTGACCTTTTCTTCTTTCTCAAGGGACGATGATGACATTAATGATGTTGCGTCAATGGCTGGCGTAAACCTCTCAGAAGAAAGTGCAAGAATATTAGCCACAAACTCTGAATTAGTGGGCACGTTAACACGGTCCTGTAAAGACGAAACCTTCCTCCTCCCAGCGCCTTTACAGAGAAGAATATTAGAAATAGGTAAGCTCGCATTTAGGGACTGTCGCAGGGTTCTAGTGTCCACATGAGGAGGGTTTGGTGTGCACCTCGAGTTTCAGGAAGGGTCACTGAACCTCACCCTCTGCTGCCGTCCTGTTGGAGCCTGGGGACGTCACGTAAGCGCAGCGGCACCTTGTCCTGTGTTCTGCCTCAGTTTCCATGTGGCTGCTGGTGGTAGTTCTCAGTGGCTGATGTGTGGGTAGATGCCGTCTCCACCCTGCCTGGGCCGCCGTGCTGCCCCTGAACCGTGCAAAGCCGTGTTGGTGGATGAAAGAAGAAACAGCAGTAAGGAAAGAAAAAGGGTTTACATGATTCTAAAATGCTCTTTTTGTTGCCTAACCTTTAGGTAAAAAACACGGCATAACAGAGTTACACCCAGACGTAGTAAGTTATGTGTCACACGCCACACAACAAAGGCTACAGAACCTTGTAGAGAAGATATCGGAGACAGCTCAGCAAAAGAACTTCTCTTACAAGGTAATGGGGCTGCTTCCTGGGAGACCGTCTTTCTGTTGTTGGTTTCCACGCTGGTCCGTCTGGAAGCCTCGTCCCCACACCTGGACACAGGTGTCCCAAGAGCCTCATGTCCTTTTTGAACTTGTTTTGAATTTTTCACAGGACTAGATTTTGGGAAGATTCATTTCTTTTGCTCATGTGGTTTTCCCGAGTGCTCTGTGGGGAGGCGCTAGCTGAGCTTTCTATGCTGGGGTGGGGTCCCTGCAAGAGGATGCTCCTAAGGGATTTTCTTCCTGGAGGGTGAACCTTTTCAGCTTTGGAAACTATGAAGTTTTCCACTCTTACTCAACCCCAGGGCTCCCAGCACCCTGAGTGCTGCCCTCATCCCCTGGAGCTGAACTCGCAGCCCCCCAGGGTGGCTGCAGCCCCGTCCTCACGAAGCAGGCTTTCGAATGAAGCATGCCTGCCTCGTCCGTCTCACCACGGAGCAGCCAGGAGGGGGCAGACCACGTGCGGCAGGTGCTGCTCTCCTGAACAGGTGTTGGTGCCACCGTTCAACTTAAAGTAGCATTCGAAGTAAACACAGCTAGCCGTGTGCTTCAGAAACGGTCTACGTTGCTACAAAAAATTTTATATATTACTTTTAAAAATCAGACAATATCCAGGTGTATAAAGTGAAACTACCAGGAGCCCCCGAGATCACCAGCCGAGACTCTTCTGTGCATACAGGGACAGACGGCGCTCCGGGCCCAGCGTCCTCTGGGGACGCAGCAAGGCGGGGCTGCTTGCCGGTGTGGGCCTGGCCTGGGGAGGGAGGGGGCCGTGCACAGAAACGCTTGCTCGGTGGGTCCCACGTGGATGACGAATGGTGTTTTCACTTTTCTCGTAGGACGATGACAGATACGAGCAGGCGAGTGATGTCCGGGCCCAGCTCAAATTCTTCGAACAGCTTGATCAAATCGAGAAACAGAGGAAGGATGAGCAGGAACGGGAGATCCTGATGCGGGCGGCCAAGGCGAGTGCTTGTGCTGGCGGCCTGGCACGCTCGGGCGCCCCCTCGTTCCTGTTGCACAGACTCACCAGGGCACTTGCGGTGTGGGGAAGCTAGGCGGGGTGTGGGGAGTCCAGGCAGGGTGTGTGTGGGGGTGCCAGGTGTGGTGTGGCAGGCAGGGTGCGGGGAGGCCAGGCGGGGTGGGTGGGGTGTGGAGGTGCCAGGTGGGGTGTGGGGGGCGGGGCTCGGGGAGGCCAGGTGTGGGGGGCGTGGGGAGTCCAGGCGGGATGTGTGGGGAGGTGGGGGGGGTGCCAGGTGTGGTGGCGGGCAGGGCGAGCAGGGTGTGGGGAGGCCAGGCGGGGTGGGTGGGGTGTGGAGGTGCCAGGTGGGGTGTGGGGGGCGTGGGGAGTCCAGGTGGGGTGTGTGTAGGGGAGCGGGTGGGGCGCGGGGGTGCCAGGCAGGGTGTGGGGGGTGGGGCTCCAGGCTGGCCCGGAGGGAGGGTGGTGCGCGGGGTTACCAGGGGAGCTGCGGAGCAGCCAAGTTCCTTGGTTTCCGCCTGCAGGAGCACAAACCCCAACAGGGGAGCTGCTTAAGATTCCTTGTGCCTTGGTTTGGGCGTGAGGTGCATGTGCAGGGGGCCCTCTGTGAGTCAGCCCATGGCTCTTTATGCTTACTTGCCATGCATTCTCGAACATTCAGAGCCAGGTTATTAAGAGTCAGGCAGGGAACCATAATTCCATGGAGAAGGCTGCTGCAGAGGGGGAGGGGTCACATGTTTGGTGATGGCCAGACGCTAACCCTCCCCTCAGCGTCCCTTCGGCAGGACCTGAGCCTGCAGCCCGGCCAGGCCCCCGGCGTGCTGCCTCCTATGTATCTGGTATCTAGCATCGATTTGCTTAAGAATGATGGCTCTTTTCCATGATGTGCAATCTAAATTTTCATCTTTTGGCTATAAGCGTTTAAGAAGTTTAACATGCATTGTTTTTCTTTTCTTTCTTTTTTTTTTTTTTTGAGACAGAGTCTCATTCTGTTGCCTGGGCTAGAGTGCCATGGCATCAGCCTAGCTCACAGCAACCTCTAACTCCTGGGCTCAAGCAATCCTTCTGCCTCAGCCTCCCGAGTAGCTGGGACTACAGGCACGCGGCACCATGTCTGGCTAATGTTTTCTATATATTTTTAGTTGGCCAATTAATTTGTTTTTATTTTTAGTAGAGATGGGGTCTCACTCTTGCTCAGGCTGGTTTCAAACTCCTGACCTTGAGCGATCCGCCCGCCTTGGCCTCTCAGTGCTAGGATTACAGGCGTGAACCACCACACCTGGCCAACATGCATTCTTTCGCGTGACCCAGATGATAATGTGTAATGAATGCAGTGACGCATGTTAGATGATAGACACTCAGGTCATAACTTCTTTTCTGCCTCTTTCAAAAATAGTCTCGATCCCGACAAGAAGACCCAGAACAGTTACGGTTGAAACAGAAGGCGAAAGAGGTAAAGCTCTTCGAGTCGTGGGTCTCTACTGCACGCCCGCGAATGCTCACAGTCAGCCGGAAAGTCCAGCGAGAGAGAGAGACGTTTGGAAACCGTGATAGCTCCGTACAGGGGCGTTTGCGTAGCTGTTAGTTTGTTTTACATAACATGCTGCGTCAAAGGTGCTCTCCCACTCCCATGCGGTTTGTGCCCTACTTGTAGATTAACGACGACTTCTCTTTGGGTGGTGTTAGTTTCTATACTTGTTCATGTATTTTGAGCGTTTTAAGATGAGCATCTATTGCTTTAGAAAGATCCACATTTTTCTGATTATAGAGTATGTTTACTAGTAACAAAGTCAAGACATTAAAGAAATCATAATTTAGAGAATTTTAGAAAACCCTTTGGTGTCTAGGTATTACTTTAGGGGTAAGCGAAAACCGCGCAGGAAATGATCCCCCTCGTTTCTTTACAAAATAAGATGCAGCAGCAGGAACTGGCGCAGATGAGACAGCGAGACGCCAACCTCACGGCGCTGGCAGCCATCGGGCCCAGGAAAAAGAGGAAAGTGGATGGTCCTGGACCGGGACCGGGCACGGAGGTACAGCAGTGTGGGGGACCGAGGTCTGGGAGGGCCGGGGTCAGACGTGCAGGGGCGTGGCCTCCTGTCACTCACACGTCTTACCTTCCTGGGAACGTTTGTTTCACATCCGATACTTTAAATTCAAATCAACTTATTCGTAGGTATCACACGAGCTAAACGTTCTCCCCGTAAAGGTGCTTGATGAGCTTAGTTCACTGCGGTGGGGTTTAGAGGGACTCTGGGAGGGCGTGGGGGTCGGGCCGTCAGAGGAACGGCTTCCGTGGGGACTGTGCCTGCGGAGCGGCGCGCAACAAGAGCCCCTGCGGGAGAGTGGCCGTGCGCAGAGCGGGGGGAGGGAGTTGCCACCTGCTTCTGCTCACACCATGTCAGTTTCTCGTGTTGCTTGTTGTCACATCTTTTACTCTAATAGACAGAAACCCGACCCGAATGCATTACTGTTTCTGCTTTACGCTTTCAGTTGTTTTTTAGGTAAATTATGGGAAGACAGAAAGAAAGTAGTCTTTTATGTTTATCTACCTGTTTACCATTTCTGGGGGGCTTCATCCCTGCCTGTGGAGCCACGTTCCCACCCGTCACCCTCTGGGTCGAGGGGCGCCTCCACGGTTCTTGCGGGGCAGGTCTGCCGGGCGGGCTCTCTCAGCTCTCGTTCACTTGGAATTGTTCTGTGGCGAGCAGGTCTGTGCAAACCCACCCCCAAAGGCCGAGGCAACTGGGAGGCTGAAGAAAGAGGCTGACAAATCCAGTTTCTCAGACAGAAACGTTGCGTAGGGACTTACGGACAGAAGTGGTGTCTCGGGCGGCTGAGAGACGGTGGATCCCCGCGCCCGCCCTGCAGAAAATATCCTTTCTATAGCGAGCTGCTTTGGCAAACATGTGCAGCTGGTCATGGGTTGGCTTTCTCGTGAAACTCCTGACCCTTGGGGAGGTTAGATGAAGATCTCTGTGAGGGGTTACCTGTGCTGCAGGCCTTGTTTGAGGACCTCGCTGCAGAGCCCCTGGGCATGCAGGAGTCAGACACTGGTCACTGTGGTGGTGTCCCTTCAAGATGGCGTCAGTGTCGCCCGCCACTCTCCCTCCAAGTTGGCCCTTGCGGTCTCTCGCACTCACCTCGTTCCCAGTGTAGTTCCTGGGCCTGGAGGGGGGGTGCTTGGTGTCCTCTAGCTTCAGCACCAGAGCATTGCAGTGGACAACGGGTCAGGCCCAGCCGATTCCAAATGAAGGAGACTCCCTCCAAGGTTTCGTTGAATCACGTCTAGTCTTTAGAATACTGTGATTTTGGTTTTCTTGCAAGAAGTAAAACAATACATGGCATTGGTAAATTGGAAAACATGATAGAGATACAACGCACACAGTAGCAATAGAATACATGCAAGGATTACAGTCAGAAGGAATCTGTATGCCAGGACAGGAGGAAAAAAACCTGTTAGGGAGCCAATTAAAAACATTGTGAAGAAAATTAAAACAAGTCTCTTTTAAAGACTCGTAGCCAGGAAATAATTCAGGATTCCATTCAAATTGTAGGCAAATAAATACTCAAAACCAACGGTCTGGGCTGGCATCTAACAGCAGGTGTGTCGCGCTTTCCTTTTGAAACGGTTTTTCTTTCTCCTGTCCCCTTTTCTACCAGAGAGAAGTCATAGACCAGTTTATTTGCAAAGTAAGTTTTAGTCTTGCTCTATGTGCCTGGTTATTTGCCAGAGTGCTAAGTGATGGGCTCCTTTTAAGTTAGATTTGCTGGAACTTTCTCTCAGGGAATCTGATTAGACTTTCAGAAGCCTCTTGAGGCCAGGATAGATATTAAGCCTAATTTTAGTAAAGTCTTATAAATAGATCCACCTAATCTCAATCAACTTTGACCACACAAGATAAGATTTCCATCAAACTTGTGTAACCTCTTACAATTTTTCACATTCTCTTTTTATCCATTCAGTTTTAAGCTTTGTCTTTAAAACAACCTTTAAATCTCTAAATTAGAGAAAATTTATCTTTTTTTAAATAAAAACCATATTTTATGTTTTCTTACAAACCTTTTCGTTCCCAAACACATCTTACTTTTCTTACACATTCTGTATATAGAATAAAGCCTTGGTAAAATTACCAAGGTGTATACAATTGTTTATCTTGTATTTAGTAGTTTTAATTGCATCTGTTAATTACCATATTAATTCCTAATAACCTTAATTTTCGGTAAAAACTTAGGAAGTAAATAATCTTAAATTTATTTATTTATTTTTTTGAGAAAGAGTCTTACTGTTGCCCAGGCTAGAACAATCTTAATTGTCGTTGAAATTTACCAGGTGCAGAGCCCAGGACAAAAGATAGATTTGTGAAAATAGCGTCTGATGCTTCCCAGCATAGCCAGGGAGCACAGCTGGGCCAGAGGTATTTCCATGAATGTTTCTGGTCCTCACCACGGTCGTTGTTTTAGAGCCCGGAATCTAATGGCTCTAAGACATAAGCTCATAGACAAGTCAAGCAAGTATCAGAAATAGAGGCAACAGTTCTATGGCTTTAAAACATCTATCAAAGATAGTCTGAACCTGTCTCCTCAGTGGACCCAGGTGAAATGTCAGAATTGTATTTAATACTGATAGTTTTGGAGACAATTCCTATTTTATTTTACTAACAATTTTAAAACTAGTTTTATTTACCAAAGATTACTAAAGTCACATGAAATTGGGAAATATTTGGGCTTATTAACATACGAGCACTTATTTATTTTTAAGCCAATTTGGTGCCATCTAGACACTATATAAACAGACACATACACAAGTATACATAAAGCTGCAAAGATTTTAAAAGCTTTGATTTTAACATTTTGGCCACGAGACAGATAACACTGACTAATTTAAAAGGACAGTGGAGTCAAACTTTGTAACTGGAAAAAGTTAAAGTTTATCTGTTCTTTATCACCAAAGCTCTTACTGAGTTTTAGAAAAAACAGGGTAGCAAATTTACATCTCAGAGTGAGAATTCAAGCTTTTTAAAGGAGTTTGGGTATATTAGAAGAAGATTAAAAATGGATGCCAAGGTAACACAGATCATAGGAATTTGCCACAGGATCTACTGGGGAGTCAAATTTCATTAGACGGTGGTTTCTGATTGCGTCTTGTTGTCCAGCTGGACCACTGAGCTCGGGCAGAGCGACCCGCAGCCAAGGCCGGCAAGTGCTTCTGTGCCCAGGGCCTTACACTCACACATGTGAAAAACAGGTGCAGCTGGAAGGCGGGACATTTGGATCCCCCCAGATCAAGGGTCCCATTTTACACTGAGTCCTGGGCTCCCAGAAGAGGGGAGGCCACGGGGCCGGACAGTGCGACACTACCATGGTGCACTTGCTGCAGGGACGTTTCCCCTAGGCTGGCGGGCCGCCCAGCAACGGTCACCCCACCCCAGGGGAGCCTGGCCTCAGCAGCGAGTGCATCCATAGCGTCCCTGTGTGCAGACCACGCTTTCCTTACCCAACAGTGCAAAGAAACGAGTGGCCCCTGCAGTAACAGCCACTCGCCCTCAGCACCGGCGGCCACTGCCAAAACCATGGCCATTGCACACGCAAAGGTCAGGCTTTCCTGCAGCACAGAGTCATCCCTGGGTCCCCAAAGCCGAGGAGATGGGGGTCTCCGTGCACAGAGAGCAGAGCCCTCGAGCTGGGATCCCAAGGGGGTGGTGGTGTCCTCTGCGTCCCTCGGCGGTGGGGCCACCAGGCACCATTGCTGGGCTCTTCCCTCTTCCTGCAGTGGGGAAGGAAGGCGGCAGGAGTGGAAGGAAAGGGAGGACAAATCTTGAAGGAGCCAGATTGGGGAGGTTTTAAGGTCTCTAAAAGGCGAGAGTTATGCAAAGGCCCCAAACAGAGGGAGCAAATGTGATAATTTTTTTTAAAAAGCGTTTTCAGTCAACTGAAAAAAACATTCCAAGAAGCCCGGAACCAAAAGAGAAAATAAAAAGCAGAAAGGCCTCCCCCTCAAGAGTTATTGTAGTCTAGTCTGAACATCAGCTTTCTTTTTAATTTCCAGGCAGGATCTTGCTCTGTTGCCTGAGCTTGGTGCAGTGGTGTCATCAGAGCTCCCTGCAGCCTCCGGCTCCTGGGCTCAATGATCCTCCTTCCTCAAATCAAGGGTCCCCTTTTACGCCGAGTCCTGGGTGTCAGTAGGGCTCTGAGATACCCTGGGTAGCCGGGACCTCAGGCGTGTGCTACCACGCCCAGCTGATATTTCTGTGTTTAGTAGAGACGGGTCTTGCTCTTGTTCAGGCTGGTCTCCAACTCCTGAGCTCAAGGCATCCTTCCGCCTTGGCCTCCCAGGGTGTGAGGAATACAGGCGTGAGCCACTGCGCCCGGCCTGAATATCAGCTTTCTGATAGAGTCATAGATCTCTGTGACTTACGACCGTAGAGCTCTTTTTAAAAAATCATTTTTCCTTTGCCCTGTGCTGCTGGCCAGGCTCCCATCCCCAGACAGGCAGCCGCCCCGCAGCCGCTGCGCACTGCTCCCTGCCCGCCTTGCCGCAGCGTGCCAGTGGCTCTCACCTCTCGGTCACCCCAAACCCACGCTGTTTTGGGGTGTTCCCACAATGCAGAGGGCCACAAGTGCCTAAAAGGTGAGCCATGCCAGTCCACGTGGAAGTGGCTGGCCACCCTGGCCACACCTTTCAATGCCAGTGAAGAAATCTAGAAGTGACTTCTGGTGGCGCTGGCACCCCTCGAGGAGCAAACACAGAGGCAGGCTCCACACGTCCCTTTTGCCCACCTGTCGGCCTCCCCGCTCCTGCGTGGCTCACAGTGACAGACACAGTTCCTCAAAAGCGAACGTTTCACAGGCGCTCCCAGACAGGTGAGACGGGCTCCCGCGTCCGCCCTCCAGAAAACGCTGAGACGCACTCACGCGGCTGCGGGCACATCCGGCTTTGCTGCGAAACTCCGGCCTGCGGGGAGGTTGAGGCCAGATACGCGTCTTACGAGGGTGTCTGTGCTGCGGCCCGCCAGCGACCTCACCGCAGAGC